TTGAAAAGAAAATCAAAGAAAAATTTCAATGGGAATGTCTGCGCGCGGATTTTATAAAAGAAATAAACTTATAAAAGAATATCAAAACACGTCCACAGCATCAAAGTGAATTAAGCAGCGAGTGAATTATGCGAGTGAATACAATTCTTAATATGCATGTGTGGTCAAAACACACACACACACACACACACTCATGCATACGCGAGCAGACTCTCACAAAACCGCATTTAAATAAACTTATTTGCGAGCTAGAGCATGAAAATAATAAATTCCATTAAAATATGCTACCAAAGCAAATGCATGTGTATTTGTATGTATATGTGTGCATGTGTGGGTGCATGAAAGCACCAGTGACTCAATGCATTTAGTAATAAGTGACGCCAACAGTGAATGCAATAATTTTGAATGAAATCAAAACATCCACAGAAACACACACGCATTCGCGCTTGGAGGCACTAATGTACACACATGCAAACATATGGGTGTCTGCATAATAAGCTTTGCTGAATAACCAGCTTTTATAATTATTTTATTATTATTTTTTTTATTTTATGTTATATATATGCCGGGTATATGTATATGTGACTATTACATATGAAAATGTTTGGACTTTTAGCATAACAGTACGCTATGTGCGAGAGGTGAGAGAGCTGCAAGTAGCAATAACAAAGCTGTGGGCTATAACGTTAACGACATTTACATGCGCGTGTGATTTATTCGAAGTCACATAATGGACGTTAGGGTGGTTGGTTTTTTTCCGAACAAGAAACATAATAAATTTTTAATATATGATTTAAAAAAACTAATATTATATGAAATAAAAAAGTTTAACTTGCACAATATTATTTTTTTTTTCAAAAAAAATTTTTCCACAAAAAATTATTTTGTAAAAAATTTAAATTAATTTTATCAATCTTTATTCTACTCGTCAACTAGATCGCAAATGTCTCGAATAGTTACATTCTACCACTTATGAAAAAAAGTTAGAACAACCCTAATGTTCCAAAATGTTAAATTATATTTCGAAATTGGTTAAAATAAATAAATTTCACATTTATAAACTAAGCCATACATTTTAGAGTCAATAAAGACCTTTCGTATATACTCTATAAAAATGGGAAGGCCTTCAAAATGGTTTTTATTGATCAAAATCAAAAGAATTTGCTCGCGCCAAAAAATGATCACCGAGAGCCTTCTCGAACATTCTGAACTGTTGCGTCGGCACCAGAAATTTGATTCGGCACATAAAATCTAATGGAACTTCTTTGCTTAATAATTTCACTCATCATAAAATGCACTTTATGCACTTCAGAGAGACAAGCACATACTAAATTAATATTTTCATATGACATTTGATGTGGATGCCATTGACAGTCATACCAATGTAGAAAAAAAAAATTTCGACAAATACGTTCAAATTAGAAAGTCTTACTATTTTTTGCCCACAATATATAGTAATTTTCAAATTAGTACATCCCTAATACTCGAAAATGTTAAGTTATGAAAAGCTTTATATAATTCTCATGGGATTTTTTCGCTGTATTTATAACTTTCGGTTAGTATGACAACCGCAAATATATACCTATATTTAATGGCTTTGCCATGGAAGGCAGGCTCCACGTATTCACAAATGTGGGTGACTTACATGCAATGCATTGCTAGTCGAGGTAAAACTGCTATTCCTTTTATATGCAATTTTTTGTTAATTTTAATATTTTAGTCCTCTATATTTGTTTTTACTAATTCGAATTGGCGTTGCTTGCATTAAATACTAACTGATTTCAGCATGTATATAGCATATTGACAGGCGCACTAGACTTCTTGTGCCAACTTAACACCGGACTATATGACTACTAATTAATTTTCGTTTTGCGATAGCCTAAATGTATACTACACAAAAATTATTACTTGAAAAATATGGTTGAAGGTTTACTCTACTGCATACTTTCCACCAATTTTCAGAGTTGTGTCAGAGCAGTTAAATTTTTTTTACCCGACATCCGTTACAATCTAAATAGTCACAATTAAGGACATATGGTGTACTAGAAATTGAAATAGGTACCACATCTACCAAAGACGTTCACTTTACTTGTCGAAGTCTCTTCTCGGACTTAAAGCAAGTCCGATGAATATGCAGTTAGTGAGCCAGTTGCTTAATATTATGAAAATCGCTAAGGGACTTTCACAGTTTATGTGACGTGTTCTGCTCCTTTTCTCGTACTGGAGTTAAGACATTCCCGCAGTGATGTCATTTTTTGGCGGTGAAATAATTTTTTTAGCATATCTTTGGAATTGGGGTTAGGTTTGCGACTTTGCTTGATTATATATTCAAAATATCAAATCGCCTGAATGTATATTTCTTTTATTTTTATCATATAATTGAAATGCTAAGAAATTAAAAAAAAAAAAAAAAATAAGGAACTTCTTTCAGAGCATTAAACACGTGATAATCTGCCAGTTATCTGACTCGTTCATTTGTATAGAAAAATGGCTACGCCGGTTTTAAGTAAAATTTWGTTCATTCAGCAAAAAAATAATATAGAGTTTGGAAATTAAAAACTTCAGGAAGTCCATTATTTTAACATTACCTCATAGACTCCTTACTTTCTAATCGTTTTATTATGTTTTATTGCTACAAGTAAAATATCATATCTAACTTAACACAAACATTTTATAGTTATTTATTACCTCAATCTCTATAAATATTTATATTTGGCTATGCCCAGCTGGTTATTCAACCGTAAATGCCCTTATTGTTTATGTTTCGTAAATCATAGACGTCAGCTAGTTTATGTCCCACATGTAGGCATTTATCCTCATGCCAATGCAACATTATTATTGGCGCTTGAGTGCATAAATAGGTTGAGCCACAATACTTGCAACATGCCGAAAAATGCTCGGAACGAAATATTTCTTATTTTGTATTTACTTTTACTGGCACATTGAATACTTGACTCGTTCTGCGCGGCTTCATCTTCTTCATAGTTTTCTTCTTTTTTTACAACCTACATTTTCGAGCTCTTTATTATGCTTAAGCTATTTGTGTATGAAATCCAGTCACATATTTGGTGGCATTGACTTGAAGAGCGTTGGAAATTCGAATTCAAATACAGACCTGAGACTGGTGAGACACATACATGTATGCATAACTGTTTTATAAACATTTTAAGCTAAATTTGTAAAGACCGACTATAGCTTCATATATGTAAAGAGCAGCCTAAGCGGAAAATGTCAACCAATTTTAATTTATATTTATATTTGTATTTGTTTTAACAAATAATATTCTATATAAACTATATTTGTACAAATTATACAAATTGTGGGCTCAATTAAGTACACGAACGCAGATATAATTGCCTCAATTAAAAAAGTGTTAACATTAATAATATGCGATTTAAAATAATGTTGTGGTAATTGTGTATGTTTAGTAGAGTGTAAGTGAACATAAATTTAATTGAATCAATTTCAAAGCTTTCTCAAACAGTGTTACTTTTCATTTAGGCTGTAATTATGCTAATTGTCTGAGCTTAATTGAATGGATGTGAATACACATTTTATTGACTCAATTAAAATAAATTGAAAAATTAATAAACTTCGAATTTGACCGGAGTTATACTAATTGATTGATCTTAATTGAGTTGATGTGCACAAAAATTTAATTGACTCAATTAAAAAAAGTCAAATATTCGACTACAATTATACTAATTGAGCTGGTTTAATTGTGTGTATATGAACACAATGTTAATTCACTCAATTAGTTTTTCCCACAAACAAGTAATATTCGATTTAGACTAAATTTGTATAAATTGTGTATAAATTGATTTTATGCGAAAAACAAATAATTGATGTGAACAAAAATTTAATTAACTCAATTAAAAAATTAATTGGCTCATTTAGTTTATTTTCAGATACTATATGCGATTTATATTACAATTATATTAATTGTGAAAGCTTAATTGAGTATATGCAAAAAAAAAAAAAAAAAAAAAAAAAAAAAAATTGACTCAATTAAGAAATTATTTTGAAAAATTAAAAACATTCGATTTAGATTATAGTTGTACTAATTGTGTAGCTTAATTGAGCGAATGGGAACTAAAATTTAATTGACTCAATTAGGAACTTTTTTAATTTTTTATTTATAAATAATTAAGCAATTAATGTACCTATAATGCAAGTTATTGTTTTTTAGACAGTTGTGATTTTATGGATTTTTTTGCTTCGCTTAAAATACATAAGTACAGTTTAAAAGTAGGCAACACCTAATTTTCAGTCTCTATTGTCTCCATTTATGAAAAAAAAAAAAACAATTTGAAGTATTGTGCTAATTTGTTGTGATATTGTAACCTTATATCCACATTTTTACTAAAATATGTACACAAGCAACAACAGCAGTTTAATCTTTTCCCACAGGGTTGCCATCATTCTACATTTGTGCGGGCGTTTGGCACAGTGACACACAATACAATTGCACATCGCAACCCACACACAGACACACAACTTTGTATAGTTTTTGCAACTACGCCACTACTACTGCCCCACCCGCAGCCTCCGGCGCAACAACCCCGAACATATTAATTAAAATGAAAGTCATCACGWTAGCTGCTGATACAACTGATGATGGCGTATGACGCTGATGTCGCCAATGTCGCCGCTGGTACACTGAACTGATGGTGTACATAGTGTCGTTGATGGATTGGCGGGAGCTCTTAGCCGCACACACACACACACACACTTGCATGCATGTATAGCCCGCGTGTTGACAGGCGAGTGCAGCAGCTATAGCAAACTCCCGCTATCAACTTTAATGATAATACAACGGTTTTCTTGTTGTTGTTGTCTTTCGTATAACTTTTTATGGTTTCGCTTTACCGTCTCTAGGGGAGCTGCCGCTCTTCTGCCGCAGCATTAAATTGCAACAAATGCGTAATGCAAGTGCAAACAGCATATACTCGGTAGCGCCTAAATGTATGCTGGCAATGATGAAAGTGCTGGCTTATGGCGAGGCGGGGGGGGGAGGTAGGTATGCTTGCATATCTGAGTGACTGCGCAATGCTTTCAATATCGTAGCTACACAGTTATCAAGCCGCTATGCTGTTGCGTGTAATACACTTTCTGTTGCATACAAATGTCAGCACATTACGTTTATTTGGCTGCGCGCAGCTGAAGCTGTTGAATGCAAAAATGAGTGTATATGTGTGTGCGAGTGTGAGTGTAGAAGACGAGGTGTGCACCATGCAATTGTGCGGAAGTGTAAAAAATGCTGTTAGCAACTTAAATGAGAAGCTGGTGCAATGCAGTAAGCAGTGGAACTGAACATTTTTCCGAGAAAGCCAATAATCTGAGTATCTTCAGTAAATTATATGCTGTTATACTTTATTTTTAAACCTATTTCATGTAGTTCATGTTCATTAGAGAACTCTCCCAGGTGAGTAGAAATTTAAAAATTTGGGTTCCTTAACATTCCATATTTTAGGCAGACAGAGTCGTTTCTGTAATTGAATATTTCTTATGCATACAGAGTGATTTGCAATAATATTTGGAAACAAAATCTTGTTAGATGGCATCCTGATGATTGGATTTTACGTGTGCTCTGCCTAATCCACAACAAACGAGACCCCACAATCTGCGACAGCTCTCATGTGATAAGCCTCCTCAATATTGCACAAAAGGTTTTATCGAGCTTATTATGTGAAAGATTAAAGCCCACCGTCAACAAATTGAATGGACCTTATCAGTGTGGCTTCAGACCTGGAAAAGCAACAACCGACCAGATATTCACCATGCGCCAAATCTTGGAAAAAACCCGTGAAAGGAGAATCGACACACACCACCGCTTCGTCGATTTCAAAGCTGATTTGGCAGCATGAAAAGGCTTTATGTCGCGATGTCTGAATTTGGTATCCTCGCTAAACTGGTACGGCTATGTAAACTGACGTCCAGCAACACCAAAAGCTTCGTCAGTATCCGGAAGGACCGCTCTGAGCTGTTCGAAACCAAACGCGGTTTCAAACAAGCCGACTGTCTATCGTGCGACTTTTTCAMTTTACTGAAGGAGTAAATAATTCAAGCAGCAGAGCTAATTAGATAAAGTACAATCTTCTACAAAAGTATATAACTGCTGACGTGGGCCGATGACAACGATTTCATTGGTCATAACAACCACGCCGTTACCACTGCTTTCTCCAGGCTGGACAAAGAAGCGAAGCAAATGAGTCTGGTGTTGAACGAAGGAAAGATCAAATATTTCCTATCATCCAAGGAACAATCATCTCACCCGGAACTTGTCCGTCATAACTTCGAAGTCGTAGTTAGTGTCGGTCTCGAAATCTAGCGCAGAATTATTCTTGCCAACAGGTGCTACTTCGCATTGAGTAGGCAATTGGGAAGTAAATTCTTCGCTCGACGAACAAAAACCAAGCTCAAGCACAAGTCACTCATCAGCCCCGTCCTACTATATGGTGCAGAGAATTAGAGGATGACAACATTTAATGAGTCGACRTTACGGGTTTTCAAAAGAAAGGTTCAGCGGAAGGTTTATGGTCCTTGACGCATTGACAACTGGAGCGATGATCTGTACGAGTTATACGACAGCGTTGATATATTTCAGCGAATTAAGAGATGGCCAGGTCATGTGGTCAGAACGGATGAAAACACTCCAACTTTGAGAGTATTCCACGCAGTCCCACTGCGAGAAGCAGAGGAAGAGGAAGGCTTTCACTTCGTTGGAGAGTTGAGGTGGAGAAGAACCTGGCTGCACTTGGTGTCTCGAGTTGGAGCCAAACAGCCAAAAATTAAAAACGAATAGGGCGCTGTTATAAACTCTGCTAAAACTACGGAAGCGGTGTCTGCGCCAATAAAGGAGAAGCAGAATTATAGATCACTAGTATATAGTATCTACAACTACTAGAAGACTAAATATCAATAAGTAAACTAGGAATTAAGAACAGTATAGTCTTATTTAGCTGCCTCCTCAACACATGCATTTAACAGAAAGGTTTGTAAAGCTGTTGAATCATACAAACATACAAAATGAATGTACTGGCAAAAAAGTATCAAAAATGAGCGAATTTATAATTATTCTGGATATGGCTAAAAACTACTCGTTGACACTTTGTCATTATACATACTATATAGCTTTACTATATATACTGAAATACATCTTCTTCTTCTTAATAGGTAAAGTGCATATTTTCCATCATCTACTTACCGGGTTTCAATAACGAAATGCGTCACTGGTGCATTGCGTGGATGCTGAGAATGCGCCCAGGAGAGATTCACAGAACGCGATGTGAAACTAATTAGCAGAGGTCGCTCTGGTGGATCCGGAACGTCTGTAATTAATATAAATAAATTATATTTTCCAAAATTTGCAAATCTTGTAGAAGAAAATATGGAATATGCAAATATTTATAGCGATATTACTAACTACTTTTCCTAATTAAGTACTAACTCATTGAAAGTTTGTTCTAAACTTAATGCAACTACATCGTTTAGTCTAAATGGGTTGGTATATTGATCATATTTTAGTATATGTAACTCACCTTGCACGAGCAGATCCACAATCGCCTCCGGTATGTGACGATCATTGACGAGGCAAAAATATTCAGCGGTATCGCTGGCAATGGCAGGATTAAATTGTAGGCCAAAATTGTCCGAAAGAAGTTGAATCTGCAATACAAAACGAAATATATTATTGATTGATAACTGA